TCCTCCCATCCCATTTCCCCCTCCTGTACCTTTTTCCCCATTCAATGGTACAGTCTCTTAGTAATAGTTACAAGTTTAACTTTCTGCTGTTTAAACGCATCATGCCATAGTGGTATAGGCAAAGATAGAAAATCTAGTATCGTACTATAAAGATGTATTTCAATACTTTCTTAGGAATCCTATGCTTATTTAGGAGTAGAGGTAACTATTTATAATCTAATGGTTATCAACCTGAATGCACATTTAAGCCCCATGAGCAATTTAAATTTCTCCTGCCAAGGGTTTACCCCCCAAGAAATCCAAGTTCACCTGATCTCTGGTTAAGCACAAGCATTTCTGTTCTTCAGAAGTTTCCCAGGCAGCCAGAGTTGAGAATCACTAACTCTAATGTTTAGAATTTTGCCTTGTTGGCCACAGACATCCTTGCTTCAAGGTGAGCTGTCCAGCTTCACTTTGACACCCACAGGAACCTGAAATATTAAGCAGGAACAGCCATGACATGGGTGAATTTACAAGTCAGTTAGTTTGGTAGCCTAGTACGGGGAGAACCCAAGTAAATGTTACCTATGTGAACAATATAAAATCAATTATTTAGTTCACATGCTTTTCTCTTTATATGTGATCGTGTGTGTGTGTGTGTGTAATAAAGATGTCTTGAGACATGATGCCCCTTAGAAAACAAAACTTTGGCTAACTGCTTACTGCACTTGCACATTTGGACATCCAGTGGGTGACTCTTACTCAGTAAAAACATTGGTCCTTCTCTTCAAATCTGTGAACAGGGAATAGGCTTTTAAAAATGTTTTTAAATTTTTATTTGAATGGCAGATTTTATAAAGAGAGAAGGAGAGACAGAGAAAGAGAGGTCTTCCATCTGCTGGTTCACTCCCCAAATTGCCACAATGGCTGGGACTCAGCTGATCTGAAACCAGAATCCAGGAACTTCTTCTGGTCTCCCACATGGATCCAAGATCCCAAGATCTCGAATCAGCCTCAGCTGCTTCCCCAAGCTTATTAGCAGGGAGATGGATCAGAAGCAGGGCAGCTGATCCTCTAACCGGTATTCATAAGGGATGCTGATGCTGCAGGTGGTGGCTTTGCTCACTATGGTACTGCACTGGCCCATCACATGTATCATTTCTATGCATTTGTTTATGCATTTGCAGTGTTGTTCACCTAACCCATACACAGCAATGTATCTTTAAGCACATCACATACCTGGCATCATATTGTAAATATACTTTCCTAACTTCTTTTGTTCCGCTCAGTATTGCCTGCCCACTTCATCTGCATTCTTGTTTAGTTCTACCTCATATCTTTTGTTCTGCTCTCTCTTGTTTTATAGTGTGTCCATTAAAACAGTCATTTGATCAAGTGCTATTCTGGGGATGTTGCCTTCCCTGATTTGCATGGACCTGAGTCAGCTGATTGAAGACCTAATGAGAACAGAGCCTGTCGGAGGGCGCTGCTGCTTGCCTTGACTGCCACATGGACCGTGCATTGCCTTCCTTGGGTCTCTGGCTTGACAGCTGCCCATCTTGCACAGCTTCTGTAGTCATGTGGGCTAGCCAGGCACTATCATGATCATGTAGTAGTTCTCCTTTCATACATTAACATCAAATTCATTGAAGTATTTTCTAATTTTGAACCAAATCCTCAATTTCTAGGACAAACTCTAATTGGTTATGATGTTGTTACTCCATGTACATATTGCTAACTTTAGTTTTAGTAAGATTCATTAAATTTTGTATCTGTGACCTTAAATAATAAAGACCTATAATTTCCCCCTTATCTCCCTACTCTGGTCTGGCTTATTTATATTTATTTTATTTGAAGATTTATCTACTTCATTTGGAATGCAGACTGAGAGAGAAGGAGAAAAAGAGAGATTTCTTCTGGTTTAGCGCCCAAATGGCCGACATGTCGAGGGCTTGGCCTAACTGAAGCCTGGAACTCCATCTCCCACATGGGTGCAGGGACCCAAGAACTTGGGCCATCTTCCACTTCTTTCCCAGGTGCATTAGCAGGGAGCTGGATCAGGAGAACAGCGGGAACTTGAAATGGTGCTCCAATATGGATGTTGATGTTGTAGAGAGCAGTTTAACCCACTGTGCCACAAGACCAGCCCCTCTGCTCAGGTGTTGAAATCATGGTTAGACTAGCCATAAAGAAATGAATTGGGATGTTCCCCTCCCCCTGCTGCCATATTTTTGTTCAATTTAAATAAGAAAGCTTCCTTTAAGTTAGTAAATCACTTCTAAGTAAATATTGTTATGGGCATACGTAACAATGTATGTTGTTATCTGTATTCCTAGTTCTGGCCCTGACAGAAATAAGAGATTCCAAGCAGAGGCTGACAGTGCACAATTGATAGAAGGATTTATTTTTAGAAGAAAGAATGTACATTGACATGTGCTTAATGAGACATGTCATTGTGAGTGGCCAGTCGCCTCTGAGGAGGGAAGCAGCAGATCAGAGGACTCATAGCACGGTCCAGGAGCAAAAGATATCCCTCTTACGTCACCAGTTCTGAGATGGAGTCATGCCCCAAGTGGAGCCATGATGGAGTTAAGCATGCAAGAAGCTTGCTCGAGTCTCATGGTGTCTACAGGTGAGATTCACCCTTCACCCAACCATCATGGCATCTCGTCCTCAAGGAAAGTGGGCGTACTGCATTGAAACGTTAGGGGTTAGAATCACACTGCAGGACTACACATTCTCTATAGCTTTTGGAATTGACACTATTAATCCATATTTCCCTAGGAGTAATCTGTTTAATCACAGTTTGCTATAGCTTTAGGAATAATAGTCAAGCCTTTTTTTTTTTTTTTTAAATCGCTGCTGCTTCTCTCATCATAGCCTTTTCATGCATGTCTCAGTCTTCCGGTCATTCTTGTTTTTTCCCTCTGTTCAATCAGATGTTCTCTATTTTATTTAAAATCTTATTGGTTTTTATATTTCCTGTAGTAACCTTTCAGTATTGAGGTTTTTTTGTTGCCGTTTATGGGAATGCAGTAGGCAAGGGCTTTCAAGTATGAAATCATAGTGGCAAACTTCTCAAGTATCAGAGACAAAACAAAATGAAATACAAGCTGCTAATTTTTGAAAATGTGTAACCCCAATGTTGTACTTGCTAAGTTCATCTTTGTGCTTCATAACTTCAGTCGTATTTCAGAGCTTACCCTATTGTAAGCGTCTAACTCTTCTAGATCAAAGTATATCTCGTCCTACCATATTCCATCTTGATTCCAGTTAGTAATGGCAGACTACAAATAAGTTTATAATAAGGAAAATTTATTGATTCAAGAAAACGTTGTAATGCCAGGATTAAGATCTTGAGCATTCTGTGAAGATGTCCAAAGAGACAAGTGTGCCAATGATGTCCAAGCAAATGATCTTAAACCTGCTTGTTTCAGTAATTGAGGGCATCTCAGAGCCTGGAGATCTCAACATATCAGTAAGAACACCAAGAGCAGGTTCTCCTATCAGGAGACATGTCACAATCACTTGTGGAATATAATCAAATTCACATTGCCAAACTTAAAGGGAAGCACCATTCTTAGAGATTCTAATTCTGATCGACACACCTTATGTAAATCATTCAAGGCTATAAAGTAATTTCAACAAACAATATTTTAAAAAACAGATCATGAGTTTTTAAATTCCAGCTTTCTAACACTGACATACATTGGAATGTTAGGTGTGTAAGTGTTTGAATTGTAAGGAGGATACTGAGCAACAGTATTCAGAAATAGGCATCATTCAGAGGAGGCAAATTTCCTTAAGCATACAATGAAAACTGTGCTTCTTTTCTATAGTACTCAATGGGAAACAGACCCTCCTCATGATGCTAACTCAGGAAATGTTATTTATTGACTAAAGTGAACTGAGCACAATAAATTCTTTTTAGGAGATTTTTCTCCATTGGCAATGAGATTTTATCCCCTTTCTCTAAAACAGAGCCATCATATTAACAAGTATAAAGTGTTACATTTGTAATATGTTTTAGTGAAGACTTATGGCAGGAATTAAATTTGTCCTAAATTTAGGATATTGAAACACACACGTGCACAGACACACAGTCAGAAACATACACTGTTTTTGCTGTAATATTTTTAAATCTAGGGTTGACATGGCATTTAACTTCAAAATAGATGTGCTGTTTGAAATTTTCTTAAAGTTTATTTATTTAATTTGAAAGAGAGAGAAAGAGAGATCAATTCTAACCTGGTTCACTCCCCAGTGGCTATAACAGCCAGAGATGATTTGATCTGAAGCTGCCAGAGGCTTCCTTGGTGTCTACAATGTGGGTGATGGGGCCAAAGGACTTGAGCCAACCTCTGGTGCCTTCCCACAATGTAAGCAGGATCTAGTCAGGAACAGGAAGAATCCAGATATGATTCAACAACCATATGGGATGCTGGTGCTATAGCCTGAAGATTAGCCTTCTATGTGATCATAGCAGCCCAAAATAGATGTTCTTTGTATGTCTTGATGCAAAATATGATGAATTAGTTACTCAGAAATGTGGTTATCAACACAACAGAGAAAAGAGACAAATTCTTACATATAGAAAAGTTTATTAGAAAACAGGGGAAAAAACAACCAGAAAAGAATATATTCACTTTAGGAGAAGGTACAGGCTGTTGGGATCTCGGGATCCCAGGTTCAGTCAGTGATCACATCAGGGCAGCAGGCAATGTCTCCTTTATTGGAGGATGCCCACAGAAAATGAGAAATTTAGAGGACTGGAAGAATGTCTTAGCTGGGGATTAAAAAATTGATTCTTATTTGATGTCAAAATTGGAAAGGAAATGGCAAGGGAGAGAGTTTAAGTGAACCAAAAGATTACCGTGATGCAGAAGGATGAGATGGACTAATTGGAACCATGACGCCCATCCATTGAATGAGATCATTCAGATGCTATGGAACCTTAGCAAAGTTAACAATAAGGTATGTCTGAGAACAGAGATGAAGGAAGCCATGCGGTTGGGGCAGGATTAGCAGCAGCAAGGCCTGGCACAGCACATGGGGCGGGGACAGGTGGAGATCACACAGGTTGGGCGATAGCAACTGGTGTGGCAGGAGACTTGGCCACAGACTGGACGCAGGCAGCAGCCAGGGCAGCAGCTGGGGCGGCAGCAGCTGGAGCCACAGCAGCTGGAGCTACTGCAGGAGGGGCGGCAGCAGCTGGAGATGCAGCAGCTGGGTCTGCAGCAGCTGGGGCGGCAGCAGGTGGGCTGGCAGCACACAGACTGGCAGCATTGGGGCCTGCAGCACGTGGGTCTGCAGCAGCTGGAGATGCAGCAGGTGGGGCGGCAGCAAGAGGGCTGGCAGCACTGGGGCCTGCAGCAGCTGGAGATGCAGCAGCTAGGGCGGCAGCAGGTGGGCTGGCAGCAGGTTGGCTGGCAGCACTGGGGCCTGCAGCAGCTGGAGATGCAGCAGCTGGGTCTGCAGCAGGAGGTCTGGCAGCAGCTGGGCTGGCAGCAGGTCTCCTGCTCAGAGCAGACAGAGCCACAGCAGGAATTGACCATGGTGTCAGAGGATGGAGGTTCTGGATGGATTGGTTTGCAGGAGAATGAAGTTGTTGGGTTTGGTCATCTTCATGTCCTGTACCTGTTTTTATACCCCCTAAAAGCCCGTAGTCATCACGTCATTATTTCCTTGTTGTTATTTATCCTGTTAGAAACTTAATGGCTTAATTACATAATTGTGTGCTTCTAGTTCTATCTTCCAAAGAGAGAAAATAGCCCCTTTCCTCTTCCTGATGTGCTCTTGTGTTTCCAGTGGAAGCGTTTGTCACATTTCCTCTTCAATGGCTGCCACGTTTGCCTCTGCTCAATAGAGTGTCTTCGAGAAGCCACTCAGTGCTTGAGTCTCTGGGCATTCTCAGTTTGAATGGGACATTTCCTCCTCTTTGTTCTTTGATCCCTGCTTGTCAAATGGGACAGGTTTCACAAATTTGTGTGTGTCCTTTGTTGTCAGAGAATGTTCTAATCAAGTGCAGAGTTGGATAGTGATTAGAAGGAAAGGCCTGACTGGAGGAAGGTGACTATGACGCTGGTGTCTTGGATGGCCCAGGAGGTGGTCATTCCCCAAGGATGTGACAAAATCTGTGTTAGATCCTCCTCTGTAGTTTCCAGCTAAGTCTTGCATAATGACTCACTGTGTTTGAATAGCAAAAATGCATTTTTTGGTGTATGTCTTTCAGAATAGGTATAAAGACTGGGAAGTACTGATTTATACTTCTCTCTCTTCCTCTGTTTTTAAGATTTATTTATTTTTATTGGAAAGGCATATATACAGAGTGAGGGAGACACACAGAAGAAAATTTTCTATCTTTTGAGTCACTCACAAAGTGGATACAATTACTGGGGCTGAGCTTTTCCCGTCACCAAGAGACAAAAGTTTCTTCCAGCTATGCCATGTTAATACTGGGAAACTCAGCACTTGACCATCCTCAGCTACTTCCTCAGGGATGTTACCATCAAGCGGGATTGGAAGTAGAACAGCCAGGAATTGAACGTATGCCCGATGGGATGCTGACCCCACAAGTAGTGGCTTTGCTCACAATGACACAGGTCCAGCCCCTTTTGTTTGCCTTTAAGATTTGTTTATTTACTTGGAATTCTGAGTCAGAGATCTTCTCTCTACCTTGTCACAACCCAAATGGTCACAACAGCTGGGGCCCATCAGCTGGAACTGGAAATGGTGCCTGAAAGTCCATCTGAGTCTCCCACATGGATGAAGGAGCCTGTATGCTTGGGTCATCTTACAATGCCTTTCAAGGCCATTAGCAGGCAGCAGGATCAGAAAGCGATGCATGCATGTTTCAGATTGGTGCCTGTATGGGATGCTGACATCACAAGTAAAGCCTTAACTCACTACTCCACCCTGGCTCTATATTCTTTTACTGAAAGAGTGGAAAGCAACATAGAGGTTAAGATAAACAAAAACATTGTCTAAGATTAAACAGAAAGGAAGCTTAATATGTCTTATCCAGGGAAAGAGTGAAGAATAAAACCAGGTAGCCTTCACTGAAATTGATTTTCCCAGTAATGTTTGCTCTTGCTCTCTGTGCCAAATCATCTGTCAAACCCATGCTGAGGAGTGGCATTGGCCTAGTGGTTAGGATGCTGGCTACATCGCCTGGCGCCCAGGCCAAACTACCTGTGTTTGCTGTCTGGCTCCCAGCTTCAGCACCTGACCCTGGGAGGCAGCATGGCACCTTACGTGAGTGGGCTCTAACCACAGATATGTGGGAGACCCAGATTGAGTTCCTGGCACCCAGCTCATGTCAGGCCAAGCCCCAGGCATTGTCAGCATTTGGAAAATTTAACAGCAGATGGGAGCTCTGTCTCTCACTGTGTAGCCATAAAGTGGCTTTGCTTCTGAAGAGAACAATCTTGTTGAAATGTCTCCTGCTGAATGGTATATCCCCCATGAGAAGCTCTCCCATATACACAACTGTTTCTTGCAAGGGACTTCTCCTTTCATGCACTATTCTGTAACAGAGTTACTTGCTTCTGTCATTCTCCCAGGCCCAATGCAAACATCGTGAAGGTGTGGGCCACACAGGACATTTGTGAGAGATGTTTGTTGAGTCAAGGAAGGCCTTTTGCTGAAGGAGACATGTAATCGTCCTTTACCAAGTGCTTACCTTCTGCTTGCTTCAGAAGAGGAGAAATAGTCTGAACAAAGAAATCACAGTTCCATTAGAGGAAGACTATACTAACATGGTGGGGAACATCGACAAATACCATTGAGGAAGCAGTGGAAGTTAGGGTTGATGTGCAGAGTTAGATGTGCTTACAGATAACCATGACTCCTGACCTATTACCACCCAGAGCAGAGGAAGGATGGAGAGAAGCGTCAAATGGTAAGGCTGCTTCCGCTCACCTGCTCAACTCCCAGTTTTACTGATAACAATACTCACCATCATCTGTTTAAGAATGATGAGGCCAATGCTGTTTTCATAATTGTCTTAGCTTGAATGAAATCCATTGGAGAAGCCAAGATCACCAATTGAGTCTATGTGGAAGGGGACTCCAGGGAACAAATGTGAAGAAGTGGGGAAGGTAAGATAGAAAGGGATGGAAACTTCCAACGTGTTGGTGCTGCTGCTTGAGTTAACACTGTGGGCAATCAGAGAGCGAACCTGGGGTTCATGTTGGTGTTGTATGCTTGACTGCATATCTGGAAGTTCCTAGAGCATCCATTGAGTGCTTGAATTAGTATCAACTGTGAGATCAGGCAAGAGGTGAACTGGTACAACCAGTATGTTCTCATACGCTAACAATATAAAGTATAGCAGGAAAAAATATGCCTGGTTTTCTCAACCATGATCACAGAATTATGTAAATAGACATAGTAAGAAATATATGTGTCCTGACTGGGCAGAGCATTGACTTCCCCCTCTGTAATATATGAGTAAGCATCAGCACAAGAAATTGGCAATGGGGGTGCACAGTGGCTGCAGTGGTTAATATGCCACATGGGAAGTCTACAGCTCATATCTAAGTGCCCTGGTTTCAGGTCCTACCTCTGCCCTGATTCTGGTTTCTTGCTAATACACACCCTGCCAGACACGGGTCATAGTTTAAGTAACTGAATCCTCCACACCCATGTTAGAGATTGGATTGAGCTCCATGCTCCTGCATTGGACCTGGCACAGCCCTGGCTATTCTGGGCTTTTGAGAACAAACCAGTAGATGGAACAGCCATCTCTGTCTCTCTGCTTTCAAGCACAACTGGGATAAATAAGCAAACAAAATTTTAAAATAAATGTGCAATCAAAATCTAATTCTGAATAGATATCCACATGCAGTACAAATATATCTAATTAGGATTGTTCCAAAAATTTATAACATGGGTTTTGAATTTCTCTCACACTGTAAAATTGGTTTTAATTGTCTCAATGAAACTAGCAAAAACTTTTAGTCACTATATTTTGTGATGTTTACATTTTCTTAAATAATAAGTTGTAGTATTTTACTTGAAACTCAGAGTAATATAGAAGAGAGGGAGAGGCAGAGGAAAAGAGAGGTATTGTCCATCCTCTGATTCACTCCCCAAATGGCTTCAATCACGAGACCCAGGCTGTTCCAAAGCAAGGAGTCAGGAGCTTTGTGCATGTCTGGCATGTTGGTGTAAGGTCCCAAGAGTTTGAGCCATTCTCCACTGATTTTCCAAGGCTAAAACACGTTGCTGTTTGAGGAGGTAGAGCAGCCAAGACACAAACCAGTGTAATCATACGATGCCAGCACGAGGAGACAGAGGATATGCCTGTTATGACACTATGCCAGTCCCTGCTGTTTAAACTGTTTCAAGCCATGTATTTGTGCACAAATGATATAGAATCCGTAGGAATAAGTGTGATTAGTATAAAACTCATGACCAGTATATAGAATCTGTTAAAATATTTTTCTTTTGGCCTACCATATTAATAGCTCTGTTTCTATCATACACTGAGTATTAAATATACGTTTGATAGCTCTCCAATTAGCTGTTGTGAATGTAAAATTGGTTTTTGGAGTAGGTTGGGCATTCTGTGAGCACACAGAGCTTGTGACTACCAGGCCAGAGGGATGCTGAGATGTTTCCTTGAAGTTTATACTTGGGGAAGCAGGGATAGAGGGAGGAGGTTTGGTCACTGGGAGAATACAAAGTGCTAGTAGCCTCAGTGGATGGCTAAGCTGATCTTGGTTGAGACCACCCTGGTTGAGGAGAGAGATGTGGATATCTTTGTCTCATCCTGGACAAGGAACAGGACCTTGGGTTTATTAGAAAAAAAAATACACCTCACCCTCCAGCAATGCCTAGGGTTTTGCACCCAGTCTGTTGCCCTCGCTTACATCACTGGCCTGGCCCTGAAGCCAGCCTTCTGTGTAGCATGATGAGCTCCTTACCGAAGGTCCCCAGGACTTAGCAGATCTGCTGTGCACGTGAAGAAAAAACTGAGAGCACCTGCTCTCGGCAGAAAAAAATATGCATTCTGCAGAACCATCTCTTGCCCACACATTTGTGATGTTAGAAAGTCTACCCTTCTAAAAAAATTAATTTCACATACAAAGCACATATGACGAACGTTAAGAATTTCTAAATGTGTATGTCTTACTTGAACTAGTCTGTGGTACTTGAAAACCTTTTGAAAACTTTTACCAGTGAAAGTCTGAAAATGCTATTTTAAAAAATCATGTGATGATATTGTTAATTGCCAGTATGCTATTAGAAGAATGAAAGAGGGGGAAAGAAAGATGAAGAGATTAAGACAGAGAATTAAAAAAAAAATAATAATGCTTCATCCTAACCCGAAACCACATGCATGGTGTTCAGACTTTCAAAAACCTTCTTCTTGTTGTTACAAACATGATTTTTACCAATCCTGGAGAATTACTAAATGCCTAGCTAATTTGGGAGGCTATCTAATGTGTGCTGTCAGCTCTGCAAATACAAGCAAAACACAGTTACCCCAGTCCAAATAAATACCTGTCTTTAAAACACACACATACACACAGAGTCAAATTCAGTGCCTATAAAATGGAGATTTATTTTTGTGCATGGAAATAACAAGGTAGAAAAAGTCTGCAGAAAACAGAAAGGGAGACAATTCTTCGGTCTTTAAAGTTTAGAGGGATTGCAATTCAGAATTTGTATTTCTGCATGTGATGGAGTCACTTCTGAAATTCTTTAGTCTGGTGAACAGATGTCCTCAAGACAAGGGGACAAGCATTGGTAACTCTTTGTTCATTTATTGGGAGATCCTCAGTGAATTCATTTTGAAAAGAGGGAATTGGAAGTCAAAGTGAACCCAGAATTACAAGCAATGACGTTTGCTCGTGATGCAAGAGATCTGTCTTCTTGAGCACTCCATGGCGTTTGAAAGAAGGTCTCCCACAATGGGGGTGAAGAGTAGGATGTGGTGCATGCAAAGCAGAGATTTAGCAGCAGCAAGGCCTGGCACAGCACATGGGGCGGGGACAGGTGGAGATCACACAGGTTGGGCGATAGCAACTGGTGTGGCAGGAGACTTGGCCACAGACTGGACGCAGGCAGCAGCTAGGGCAGCAGCTGGGGCGGCAGCAGCTGGAGCCACAGCAGCTGGAGCTACTGCAGGAGGGGCGGCAGCAGCTGGAGATGCAGCAGCTGGGTCTGCAGCAGCTGGGTCTGCAGCAGCTTGGGCGGCAGCAGGTGGGCTGGCAGCACACAGACTGGCAGCACTGGGGCCTGCAGCAGGAGGGTCTGCAGCAGCTGGAGATGCAGCAGGTGGGGCGGCAGCAAGAGGGCTGGCAGCACTGGGGCCTGCAGCAGCTGGAGATGCAGCAGGTAGGGCGGCAGCAGCTGGGCTGGCAGCAGCTGGGGCGACAGCAGTTCTCTTCCTGGCACAGACCTTGCTCATAGCCCTGGTCAGAGCACACGGAACCACAGCAGGAGTTGACCATGTTGTCAAAAGTTGGAGGTTCTGATTGAATTTTCAGGAAGGTAATACTTTGCAGAATGACCTCTCCTTGCACTGTCTCTTGCTTTTTATACCCTAATGAAAATTGTGGTGTCATGTGAAGGGTCTTATTGCTATTCAGTAGACAATCATTTAGCAAATTAAGGCCTGTGTTCTCAGGCAAATGTTCCTGAATATAGAACGCCCCATTTCCTTTTCCCGTTGAATCAGAAACCACCCAATTTGGTGACCCTAAGTGAATCAGTTTCTGTTCTTCCTCAGTCTAGGTATTGTCTAATTATGGCCCATCACATGACCCTGTTTCATTGGATTTCATATATGTTCATTCTTCAGCTTATTGAGAATTTTTGTGATGATTAATTCTCCTCTTCTGTCTAAGATGAAAGGCAAGTCTTAAGGAATGTTGGTAGGAAAACAGAATTAAAGACCTATCTTTGCAAAGTCTAGGAACGGTATGTGTGCAATGAGACAAACCATGATACCTTTAGCTTTCCTGGATGATGGATGAGATGTCAAGATCCTGGTGCAGTTCCTGTCTGTCTTGCTTTTGCCTAATCTGTTGTTTGAAACAAGGATTCATTACAATCAGATAGTAAAGAAAACATTGGCATAATGAATATTTATACAATCGCTATGCAATTATTGATAAGGTCCTTATCAAAATAACACCAAAATCTGGCATGTTGACTTCTATTTTTGTTATGTCAACATGTGTAACTAACGTATTGTGAAAGTATATTTTCTCCTTTCTGAGCTATTGTCTGTTGGCAATGCATTTTGCTTGGAACAGAAACAAAAGATTAAGCTTTAATCTGCATCCTATAGGCATTTAAGTCATAGACATTGGAAAGAATTTAGCAACTACCAGATTAGGAGTGTTGTGTGACTAATAAATTAAAAACAATTGGGGACTTCAATCTCTACATTTCAAAGGAAAATGAGATAACACTATTAGTCCGTTGAGTGCTTACAGTGTGTTAGGGATTTTCTGAGTCTTCTATAACTTTCATCTTGTTTACACCTCACAAGGACCCAGTGACATAGGCATCATTTTTATCTAATTAAAGAAAATGATGCTATTGTATGATCTATAAGTCAGTGAAGAATTTAATGAGGAAGGTAGTGTTTGAAGATGAAACTAAACTAAAAAATCAAAATCCATGAGGTATAGTTCCCACTGGTCTCTGTTGGTGAGATATGTCTTCTATAGGCAACAAATAGATAGGTTTTGTTTATTTAATCCAGTCTACTAACCTGTGACGTTTGCTTGATGAGTTTATGCCATTTACATTCAGGGTTAATATGAATTCATGGTAATATGGTCCTGTCATTCTAGCAGAGGATTGTTCATTAATTTAGTCATCTGTTGTTATTTTACTGGGATGATCTTCACGTTTGCCTTTTGTTTTGGTGGGTGCTATTCCTCTTCTCTGTCAAGAGAACATCTGTCAGTGTCCTTTATAGGGTAGCTTTGGAAGAGGCATATTCTTTTAACTTTTCTTTACTGTGGAAGAATTTTATTTCATTTTCAAAGACAAAGGAAAGTTTTGCTGAGTATGTTATCAAGGACTGACAACTTTTTGCTTTTAGAATCTGGAATAGGTCACTCCATTCTCTTCCAGCCTATAGAGTTTCCTGTGAGAGGTCTCCTGTGAATTTAAGTGGCATCCCTCCATATGTCAGTTAATTTTTTTTCATGTGCACATGTAAGAATCTTTTTCTTATACTCAACTGAAGAGAGCTTGATTATCATGTGTCTTGGTGAAGATCACTTTTAGTCAACCCTGTTGCAAGCTCTGTGCCCCTCCTGCATGCTGTTTCCCAATTCTTTCTCTAGATTAGGGAAAATTATATATAAAAGTCTCATAAAATATATTAGAAAGGATATATGCCTAATGAGAAAATAAAGTATAAGTATTTCCTCACTGCATGATAAGAGAGATGAAATTGTGTGGGATATCACTTCTCACCAGTTAGATTGTCAACAATTAAAAATTTACCAACATTTTCTATTAGAGATAGGATAGAAATAGACATGTTCATACTTGTCTTTCTAGGATTTTACAGTACAAGGCAACATTATTCCTTGATCCTGCCATCCCATTTCCATAGATTATCTCAGCTATATTCAGGCAAAACTATGAAAAGATGTATCCCAAGACAATTCAAAATACTTCTACTTATAAAAATAAGACAAAGCTGGACACAACTTAGATATCTTTCTAGAGGATGAAAGTGAATAAATGAGGGGACAGTCCTATAATGGAGTACTATTCCATTTAAAAAACAAGGGTATTTTATAGGCTATTATGAAATGATCTTTCAAGATATGTAGTTAACAGATGATGAAACAAGTGGAGAAAAATGTGGTGCACATTCTACATCATGCCTAAAAATCTAGGATAAGAGATGAAAGTGGAGATGAAACATAAGAAAAAGAGACTACCACATTCAGCCAAGATAGAACTACAGGAACTGGACTTAATCCTGCTTCTTGAGATAATTAAAGAAGCAAAAAAAAAAAAAAAAAAAAAAAGCATAACATTGGTTTTTAGACATCAACTATCATTTATAGCCAGATATGGTTGTCTCAAAAAGAGCAAACAAATGAGGTGATTACTAGGCAGAAGAGCAATTCTTGTTGATGACACGATGCTTCAGATACTTTGTAATTCCATGAGACAGAGCAAAAACCTTGTGATTTATTGGTCATTGGTTAGAGTATTCAGAGTATTGTCTCAGGAATGAGGAACACCTTGTCCTAGAGTAAGGTCTGCTCTGTTCTCAGTTCATAAAGTTAGAAGTCCATTAGTTCATGAACATAAAGTTTCAGCTAGGTAAGATTAATTTAGAGATTTGCTGTAAACCTTGTACCTATAGTCAACAATAATGTTTTGAACACTTCAAATTTTAAGAGAGTAAATCTCATGTTGAGTATTCTTACACAATAAGATAGTTAAAGAAAGCACATCTAAAAAAGATTCAACTATGAAGCACCTTAGCTGCATCCCAGGACAACCAATTAATTGGGCTCTATCAAAATCAAACCTTTTTACTTCCCAAAATACATTGTTTGAGGCAGTGTTGTGGTACAATAGGTAAAACTGCTGCCTTTAATGTTGATATTTCATATGGGCACTAGTTTAAATCACAGCTGCTCCACTTCGTATCCAGATGTTTGCTAATGATCCCAGGGAAAGTAATGAGAGATTGCGCAACCACTTGGGCCCCTGAACGCATGTGGGGGACCTGGGTGAGGCTCCTGGCTTCAGTCTAGCCCAACCCCAGCCATTATGGCCGTTGAGGAGTGAACCAGCAGATGAAAAATCTCTCTCCTTTGTTTCTCTCTCTTCTCTCCTCTCTTCTACTTCTCTCTATCCCTCTCTTTAACTTTTCCTTTCAAATAAATAAAATAAATTTTAAAATATGATTCTTATGAAAAATGTAAGTTACAAACTTGGGGAGAATATTTATAGAACATATATCCACCAATGGACTTGTGTTTAGAGCATAGAAGAATGTTTATCAATCAACAACAATAATAATAATACAGACAACCCAATAAATAAATGAGCAAAATATTTAATAGAAATTCACCAAAGAATGTATGCAGACATCAAATCAAAACACAAAAAGATGACCAGCATGATTAACAATTTGGAACTTTCAAATTAAAAGACATAATGAAGTAACATTATTGTGTTACCTCTGAAATGGTCAAAATTGACGGGACTATGCAATAGTGGTAATGTGGACCCATTGAGATTCTTGATATAGCCACTTGGTAAGGTGGTTTGACAGTTTTTAAAAGAGTAAAGATAGATCTATCATATGACCTAACTAATCCACATAAAGTTTTATATTCAACAAAGATTAGTTGTTCACACATGTTCTTTTTAAATTTTTTTTATTTGTTTATGAGACAGTTCCTTAGATTCAGGGATTTCTCTTTCCACCCTCCCCATCCTTCCTCCTCCCAACCCGCATTGTTTTCTCCTATTTTAGAACAATAGTATAGTCCCTCAACAACAGTCACAAATCCATCACTCTTCTATTTAAAAGTTTCATGATATTGTATGTACGGACAATGATAGAAAGTCCAGCATTCTATTGCCAAGATATATTTAACAGTTTCATTGGGAGTCCATCTTTTATTCAGAAGAATAGATACATGTTGCAATGTATCTTCACCCATGGTACACTTACCTCCAATATACAGTTCCTCCAGCTAAATATATGTAGATACACGTTTGCCTATGTATCTATTGAACCTGTATTTTGCATGAAGGTTGCCTTATATCAGAGACAACATATAATATTTGTCCTTTTGGGATCACGCATGTTCATGATAACTTTATTTGTAATAGGGAAATCTAGAAATTTACCAGCATGTAAATGGATCAATGAACTATGTATTCTTTACAATGATGTATTTCTGAGCAATCAAAAGAAATGAACTACTAACATACATGACAACTTGAGTTTCAGTATAATTATACTAGGTAGAAAGCCAGAAAATACACTTACATAATGTATAATTCCAGTTATATAACATTCTGGAAAATGCAAGCAAATTTTTGGTGGCAGCTGATCACTGATCAATATTTGCCTGAGGAAAGGGAATGAGAAGAAATTGAACATAAAATGAAGGATTTTGTTGTGGTGATGATGGCACTTTCATGAATATATACAGAGGAAGAACATCAAAGTGTGCTACTTTAAGTATGTAGTTTTTTTTTTTTTGTACATCAATTTTGTTTGAATTTAAATGAAAACAATGCAATTCTCAATGTTAACTTGTACCTCAAAGAAAACTTGCATAAAAGAATTTTTCACCAAAGGCAGAAGATACTAACAGACCAAAGAAAGAGAAATACACATCCAGGATTACATGGAGTTCAATTTATTAAGGATTTGTGGAGGAGAGCTTATCTTGGATCACAGCAAGGTGAAAGAATCCTTTCTTGGACCTTCCAGGAGAAAAAGGATTCATATTTAAAGTTAGACCAAAGTGTCCTGCGACCAACTAGAATATGCCTGTACTTTCTCAAGAAATGTGAACACCTGTAAGAGGCATTCCAGGAATCATCAGAGCAATGCATTTTCTTAATGGCTGTACTTATCCCATAGAGTCTAGGTTGATGGCCAGGGTCAACTGGAGGGGAAGATAACAGTTACTACCAAAATAGTGGCAGTCATGTTGAGCTGGGATCCTGTCATTTGTGTTTAAAAAGTTGACTTCGTTGAGTTGGGGAAATGGAGTGTACAAATAAGATTTCTTTGAATATGCCTTACCCTGTAGCTTTAGCTTTGGCCCATTGCATGAATTATAAACAAATTTGAAGTTTTTAAATCTGTCAGATAATCACTAAAACAGCAACAATGGGACCTATAGAGAGATAAGATTAGCGTCAGTAACCATCCCAAGATAAACAACAAAAACCAAAAGTCTGAAAAACATCATATGTTTGTTTTCAGGAACCATATGCTTGTTCCTGTTATTTCAAGATTATTGTGAAAATGGAAACCTTATTGAGGAACTAGTCTATGAAGCACAAAACAAAGATTTGTAAATAAGATATATAAGGGAAAGTGAAAACCCTGCAGTTCTCAGTATAAACTCATAATGTAATTAAGTAAAAATATATTCAAGCAAGTGTTCTGTAGTCATGGACATTGGAAAATAATTTTAGTATTGATGACCATTGTACATTTCCATTTATGATACTTAAGACCATTTTCCAGTAAATGAACTGAGTCCTTTTTCAGAAATTCTGATTATGTCTGAAGAAGGAATGCCCAATATATCTGGAGTATCTTTTTTTTTTTTATTGTTGCTTACATTGTATTATGTAGTACAGTTTTATAGGCGCTGGGGATTCCCCCCACCCCTCGCATACCCCTCCCCCCATGGTGGATTCCTCCACCTTGTTGCATAACCATAGTTCAAGTTCAGTTGAGATTCATTGCTTGCAAACACATGCCTAGCATAAAGTTCAGCGTCTTATTGTCCAGATAAGTTCAGTGGCCTCTTGGGGAGGCCTTCTATGGTCTGAAGATAGGTCTAACAGAGTAAAGGTCCGGTCAGTTAAAAGCCCCAACAAGGCCTCAGTATCAATATACAACATTATGGAATTAATTTACATAGTATTGGGTAAACAATATGTTAAAAATAATGCAAGTTCCATTCTTCGAAACATCTGGGTTGAGACAGTATCAATGACAGGTTCAAAAAATAACAAACAACCATACAAAAATTACAGGTTAAATCAAGGCAAACATGTGGTATCTAATCTTTTGGGATTCACTCATTTCCCTTAGCATTATAGTTTCCAGTTGTGCCCATTTAGCCACAAAGAACTGCATTTTGTTTTTTTTAATAGCTGAGTAGTATTCCATGGAGTAGATGAACCAAAGCTTTCTTTTACATTAAAAAGTAAGAAAACCTTCAGAGTCTACTAGATCCATGTTAAAAAGTATTTGGAGACCAACTAAAAGTTCCTTGTTTGACACTACTAATATGAATGCAAACTGGAACAGGTGGATCTACCAATAAGTACATTGAAATTTGTAAGTTCATACTGACAGATATTTTGAAAAAGAAAAAGCTTGTATTTAAGTCTCCTTTGGATGAGACACCCAGTCTAATAAAGGAAGGATGTTAAAATATTTATTTTGGCTCTCCCATGATACTACTTTTGAGAATAACCACACACAGATGCACGTACTCTACAGAAATATTTCAGCTAACAAATGGCGGAGGAGCAATAGGATTCTAAAATCACAATTTTGTCCTGCCTGATGAAATGATGACTGCAGGCAGTACCCCTCCACAGCCACTGACGTCACAGAAGAGGCCAGTTGGATGGCGCGTGTCTCCCAATGGGCGAGTGCCTTCTGCCAAGGGCACCATCACTGGGTTTCGCAAACTCTTTGGAGTGTAGCCTCCCATTACTGGATCAGACATTCTCTGGGTGGAGGGAGTTACAACTTTTTTCTTTGACATGTTTCTTGTTCTTTGTTGGGGCTTTTAACTGACCGGATCTTTACTCTGTTAGACCTATCTTCAGACCATAGAAGGTCTCCCCAAGAGGCCACTGAACTTATCTGGACAATAAGACACTGAACTTTATGCTAGGCATGTGTTTGCAAGCAATGAATCTCAACTGAACTTGAACTATGGTTATGCAACAAGGTGGAGGAATCCACCATGGGGGGAGGGGTATGGGAGGGGTGGGGGGAATCCCCAGCGCCTATAAAACTGTACTACATAATACAATGTAAGCAACAATAAAAAAAAAATGTTTAAAAGATTAAATAAAGGGAACAGATTTTACGTATTTCAGATACTCAGTTTTAAAAACATAATGTTCTGCCTCTCCTTCCTTCCTCCTTTTTCTCCCTCCCTCATTTCCATCTCCCTTTTGTTATGTATGTGTAATGATGAAGAGAGATGGGAGAACACAGTGTCAAACCCTGTGCTGTCTCTGCCTTTCAGGGACAGGGAGTGAGAGGGACAAGGTCATGCTGCGTTTAGACAAAACACAATGGTCCAGACAGGATGTCTTAAAGAAGATACAATCACACAGAATTTTCCATACAGGAAGGTGGTGGTTTATTTCAGCATAGAGATACAACACGAGAAAATTGGGAACATAAGAATCATAAGAACAACCTCAGTGATAATTAAGAGAAGGATGATAGGCCTTTGTAATGTAGAAATAAAAATTTCATCTTTGACTCCTTGAGCTTGCTGGTTTGGCTGCCCAAAAGTTAAGAAGAATAAGGGAGAATTAGTAAGGTCAATAAAATAGATCATATTCCATAAGCAAAATCATGTTTGCATGGAAGGCAGTAATTAATGTGGAGAATTTGGATGGGGACTAGAATGCATTCAGAGTTAGTGGGCCTATCATAAATCTTAAAATCTGAAGTCCCAATTTAGCTGAGCAGCATCAACTCCACTTCATGGATCCCAAGGGTCAGTTCACAAAAAGGTGTGTCTGAGAACAGAGATGAAGGAAGAGGTGGGGCTGGGGCAGGATTAGCAGCAGCAAGGCCTGGCACAGCACATGGGGCGGGGACAGGTGGAGATCACACAGGTTGGGCGATAGCAGCTGGTGTGGCAGGAGACTTGGCCACAGACTGGACGCAGGCAGCAGCCAGGGCAGCAGCTGGGGCGGCAGCAGCTGGAGCCACAGCAGCTGGAGCTACTGCAGGAGGGGCGGCAGCAGCTGGAGATGCAGCAGCTGGGTCTGCAGCAGCTGGGGCGGCAGCAGGTGGGCTGGCAGCACTGGGACTGGCAGCACTGGGGCCTGCAGCAGGAGGGTCTGCAGCAGCTGGAGATGCAGCAGGTGGGTCTGCAGCAGCTGGGTCTGCAGCAGGAGGGTCTGCAGCAGCTGGAGATACAGCAGGTGGGTCTGCAGCAGGTTGGCTGGCAGCACTGGGGCCTGCAGCAGCTGGAGATACAGCAGGTAGGGCGGCAGCAGGAGGTCTGGCAGCAGCTGGGGCGGCAGCAGGACTCTTCCTGGCGGAAGTCTTGGCCACAGCTCTGCTCAGAGCAGATGGAGCCACAGCAGGAATTGACCATGGTGTCAATGGAAGAGGTAGGGTTCTGTGAGTGAGTTTGAGTGAGTTTCTTGAGTTTGAAATTCTCCTTACTCCTGACCCCTTATATACTCTTAAATAGCTGATGTCACCATGATTATTCCTTCCTTGTTTTTTTTTGTACTAGGAAATCAATTCATATTAGTATGTTATAATTATGTTTGTCAGGTTAAGTGTGCCCATGTCTAGAAAAAGCTTCATTTCCTTTTTCTGTGGTGTTGTGATTCATTGTATCTTCCCAAACCATGTGCAACCATTTCCACCTTTCCACCTCTGCCCTATGTGACTTAAATTGGAGCTGTCATGTGATAGTCTATTACTGAATATTTACAAGTGTCGCAGATTCCATGAAAGCAGATTTTGTGCATGTTGGTTCTTGATGTTACTCCAGTACCTATAACAGGGTCCACTATGAATGCTCAGTAAATACCATTTGAAAGGAGCGATGCACATTTGGAAGCATTAATGAAAGCAAGCCTGCTTTTCCCAGAGCCCACGTTTCTGCATGGGAACAGTTGATGGAGCTCAGCAGGACTTTTGGCTGTGATCTGGCCACCTGCAGTCTGCCCGTTTCCAATAGACTACATGGCCTTCTCCAGGACCTGCCCTCACTTTTCACACAATCACGACCTCTTGAGAAGACAAACAAGCCAGAATAGCAGAGACAGTCCTGTGACAAAGACCAGCCTAGGCGATCTAAATACTCTACGGAAATCTTATTTTTCTTCATTTGAAGATGTTTAGCTGCAAAGTAGAATGATATCTTAGTAATTAAAATTTCTTCAAAAAAAAATAGGAAATGATCCAGGATGTGGTCATATTTTCCCAGCAGAAAACTATGAGGGAATATGATTAAAGGATTTTCAAATTGGCTGAGCTCCGGCTCCAGCTCTTCTGGCCACTTGGGGAGTAAACCAGAGGAGCAGTGATCTTTCTCTCTCTTTCCTTATCCCTGTAGATCTTCTTCTTTTTTTAAAAAAAGATTTTATTTATCTTTATTGGAAAGGCAGATATACAGACAGGAGGAAAGCCAGAAAGGAAGATCACCTGATGGTTCACTCCTCAAGCGGCCGCAACAGCCAGAGCCAAGCCAATCCGAAGCCAAGAGCCAGGAGCTTCCACCAGGTCTCCCAGGTGGGCACAGGGTCCCAGAGTCTTGGGCCGTTCTCAACTGCTTTCCCAGGCCACAGGCAGGGAGCTGGATGGGAAGCAGAGCCACTGGGGTTAGAACCGGCATCCATATGGGATCCCGGAGCACTCAAGGTGAGGACCATAACTGCTACACTATTGAGCTGGGTCCTCCTTGTCCCTGTAGATCTTCCTTTTCAATAAAAATGAATAAGCAACTCACTGAGCTCACTCTCTTTTCATGTAAGAAGCTCCCTTCATAAGGAAAGATACTTTAGCAGTGTGAAAAACTCTTCTCGCTGATTTTCAGGGAGCAATGTAAATATGGGAGTGAATATGTCCAAAAACAAAAGTTTCAAAGGGCCACAGACTTTATAGAAGACAGGTCGTGAGCCAGGCGCAAAGACGACACCCACTAAGGAAGACATGAGTAAGTGTTGCAATCGGAAGCATGAGAGCATAGCCGGAAGTGTGTATGTACATGTGTGTGCGTGCACACTGCGTGTATATCCTCTCTTTCCCAGTGTTTAACTAGAATCAAACAATTAAGTGATGAAGTTTTCCAGCAGGATAAATAATGACAGGGAAATAATTATGTGGTGACAAAAGGCCTTCAGCAGGGTATAAAAACAGACACAGGCCAAGAAGACTTTCAAACAAAAACATTCACTCTCAAGTAAACCCACCCAGAACCTTCATCCTCCGACAACATGGTCAACTCCTGTGGTTCCGTCTGCTCTGAGCAGGAGACCTGCTGCCAGCCCAGCTGCTGCAGACCCACCTGTTGCATCTCCAGCTGCTGCCAGCCCCAGTGCTGCCAGCCCACCTGTTGCAGGCCCACCTGCTGCAGACCCAGCTGCTGCATCTCCAGCTGCTGCAGGCCCACCTGCTGCAGGCCCACCTGCTGCAGACCCACTTGTTGCAGACCCAGCTGCTGTATCTCCAGCTGCTGCCAGCCCCAGTGCTGCCAGCCTTCTTGCTGCAGACCCACGTGCTGCAGGCCTCAGTGCTGCCAGTCTGTGTGCTGCCAGCCCACCTGCTGCAGACCCAGCTGCTGCAGACCCAGCTGCTGCGTCTCCAGCTGCTGCCGCCCCTCCTGCAGTAGCTCCAGCTGCTGTGGCTCCAGCTGCTGCCGCCCCAGCTGCTGCCCTGGCTGCTGCCTGCGTCCAGTCTGTGGCCAAGTCTCCTGCCACACCAGCTGCTATCGCCCAACCTGTGTGATCTCCACCTGTCCCCGCCCCATGTGCTGTGCCAGGCCTTGCTGCTGCTAATCTTGCTACCTTAAGCCTACCCCTTTCCCTAGGTCCAGATTCTTGTGTGTCTGTGCTCAACAGGAGGGCATGTAGACTTGGGTTGCTGTCATGGAATTTGGTTTCATAATTTCAATGAGGAACCAGGACAGGCTGTCTAAAAGAATTGAAATTCCCTGGCAGACTATTCCAGCAACAGACCTCATCATTCAACCTGACCATTGGGGAAATAATTTTTCTTACTTCCTAGGACTTTTGTAACCTGATATCCGTAATCCTGACAAAATAAAGTTACACTTTGCTACATGAAAAATCATGTATGAGTTTTACTTCCTTAAGATTTTTATGTCTAATTATTTTAATGGTGCATTTTTACTGGGTACATGATGCAATATATATGTCTAATTAGTGATTATCAAGTCAGGTTAGTGAGCACTTAATATTCCTCTAAACAGTTTTTTTTAAATTAATACTCAACAACTAAACATATCAACAAATGCATATTAAGTATACTGATCAAATTAAGCCACCACTGTTTCCCAAACTTCAAGCACCTCTCTTCTACCTGCTCATAAAATACGTAACATGCTGATGTGAGCTCACCATCCACTGTGCTGGGGACCACTAGAACTCACTGCTCCTGTTTTGGCACCAGTGTCTACCTTCCCCCTATCTCATACCTTCCTCCTGCCACATGCCCTTTCCATCCTGCAGCAGTTACTATTCTACATTCAGATGATGCTTCTTTCTCCCAGCATGAAAACAAAGATTAACATTGGCCCTTCTGAATCTCACTCCACTTAACCCAGTGACTTCTTGTTCCACCATATTATTGCCAATGGCAGGATTTTATTTTTTATTACCAAATAACATTTCATTGCATATATACTGCAGTGAAATATTACCTTACTCCAGTCAGAATGGGTATTACTAAAATTTTTTTTAATTAGCAAATATTGTAGGGCATGTGGAGAAAATGGAACCCTTATACACTTTATGATGCTGTTTCATGGACTTGTTCTCATGAAGCCAAGGTAACTTTTGATGTTAAAAGTGAGCCAAAATTATAGGTGGGCAGAAAGACACAGGCCCTTCTCTGTGTGCAGTGAGGAAGGCAGAAGAGAACCTAGGTTGGAGATATGGATGCCCACTGGACAGGAGATGAAGATACACATTCAGTGTTATTTCCTGTGTGAAATCCATGGTTCTGAAATCTACAAAGCAGTTTGCAGTCACCTGGAAGTGACCCTTACCGGCCCATTATGGATCAACATGAATGCTACAGTCCTTAATGACTGCAATGGTTTTTTTAAAAAATTCTTATTTTCTATTTTACAGCTTTGTATATACAGGGATTCTCTCAGTCCCTCATTTTCCTCTGTCTGCTTTCTCTCCTCCCCATTGTCCCCTGTATTTTATGACAGATTACTCATTGGTCTATAATCTCAACTCCAGTGTTCTGCGCTTTACATGTGTCTTGACATTGGAGGTATAAGCACTGATAGAGTTTAACATTTTCTTGCCAAGGAGTATCTAAGTTTTATTAGGGGCCTACCTTTATTTGGGAGTAGAAATGCATACTACAGCTCTTCTTTGATTTCTGGTATTCTGTTCTTCATTATTTGATTCGCTTATGAGATTATGAGTGTACACTTGGATTTTTGATCCATCAAAATCCACGAGTCAGCCCTGACACTAATTTAAGATAAAGAAGAAAATAAAAAAGGTTATTCACAACAGCTGAATGTTAATTAGTAAGTGTTGAAGGAATAATGAAGTTATAAGATCACCAATTATAACTATCAAAATAGAACTTGATCAAGTAAAAGATCAACAGGGAATGATCTAAATATGAAGAAAGTGTGATGAGGAGGAGGATACTGGAACACTACAAAATGTTTCCCTACACGTTTCTGTTCATTTCTGTGATATATGTTTAAGCCTTCCTCTGGAGTAGCTTGAGTTCACTCATTTAATAATGAGATCAAAATTATTCATAACGAACAAACCGGCATGTGTCTCTAGAAGTCACACTGAACATATGCATGATTTGTTTGTATCCCTGTTAAATCTACATCCAAGGGTGAGGAAACAGCAGCTAAACAGGAGCTAAGAAATAATCTTTGTAACAACTGAGCTGTTTACTTAAAAAATGTCAGCTATCTAATACAAAGGCACCTTTGGTAAAAGCTTTAGATTTAAAGAAACCAAAGGAACATGGCATCTAAGGCAATGAATGAATGGAGATGGAAAATGTTCCACAAGACAGCATTGGAACAATTGGCAGCATTTGGGTATGGAATGTATTTTTTTTTTACTTTAAAAAATAATAGCTGGCATTGAAGTCAGAGCCAGCAGTGCAATCCAGATCTCCACATGGGTGATAAGAGCCCAGTTCCTTGAGCAGTCACTGCTGCCTCTCAAGGTTGGTGTTCATGGAAAGCTGCAGTCAGGACTGGAGTTGCAATCAAACCCAGACACTCCATTGTGAGATTTGGGTGTCTTAACAACCAAGACAAATGCCCATTCCTTGCAATGCATTTTAGAGAAGCAGCATCAATATTTTGTTCCATTGATATCTGCATTAGGTCTATGCAAGAAAACACCATAGTGTTATGCCATAGATACATCTAGTTAATATTCTTGGAACTAAACCTTCATAATGTAAAAGCAGGAACCAGCCTCCTGTCAGTCTCCTTTGTTATCCTGCCCTGCCATTTATCAAAAAGAATTCACTGATTTGAGAATATGATCCTGCTGACCTCACAAATTTCTGATCGCTGAACTCTAGGAGTCATTTGCTTCTCCAATAAATAGTAACTTCAGTGGTCAATATTGTCTTGGGGTGATTCAGATAGGGAAATTCCAGGTTTGGGCAGAATGTAGTTGCTGCATTCATGTAACCCACAGACCCTGTGAAGACCCCCTGGTTATCATAAATTCCCTAAAGAGTATGGCCTCCTTGACCAATCAAAGGAAAGTCACGTGTTACAGTGATAAACCAGGAACTTGGACACAAGCTGAATATGCACCTCTCAGTCCCAATTTCAACTTGTGAGAACCTGTATTCCCAATTCCTTAGGGATCCTGGGGATTAAGCAATAGCTGCTTGGCTCCTTGCTCTGTGCTTTGCAATAAATACCACATTTTTCCGCCACTCCCATGTCAATGACTGTCTTTCTGCATGTTGGGCAAATGGACACAGTTCGGGGGTTCTTCAATAATGCCTCTAATCAGTTTGGGATGTGGTTAAGCAATATGACCTATCTGTAAGTCTAAGAAATCAAGTCTGATTAAAATGTTCACTCTATGTAGAAATTTGTATTTTTAAAAGAATTCTATGTGTTTTTAAAGGTGAGAAACAGGTGCAAATTCTAGGATGTCCTTGGAATCATCAGAAGCAAAGGCAGAAAGTATAGCACAGAAGTCACTTCCCCAAAAGAAAAACTCAAGATTGAGAAGTAGTAAACACAAGAAAAAATATCCCTTCAAGAAACCACCGACAGATTGTAAGGATTTCCCAAGGAGAATTCCTACGCAGGACGAAAGCGCAGGCACCTGTGGTAGAACCCACAAGGAAATAACCCATCCCTAGAAAAGGGAAAATAACATCCAAGAATGGAAATAATTGAAGGTGTTGACAGAGGCTATGTGTGAATTGGTCTATGTGGCAGCCAGAATTAGAAACAGTAATGGAAGCGTCGGCCATTATAGAAAATAAGCTGGAGGAGTGTTGTGGTGTAGAAATAACCTTTCCTATGATCCCCTTCCTGAGCCACGTCTTGCTTCCTTGTGGTATTTTCCTTCTATTTGGAGGATTAATGCCCTTTATTTTTTTCTCTCTTAGGACAGTTGGCTGTGGATATATTCTATCATTTTTCTTTTCTTGGCTATAGCTTTATTTCATACCCCTCCTGTTTCTCTGATTATAGGATTCTAAATCGGCAGAGTTTTCAACCTGCAATTTGAAAATGCCTTTTCATTGTCTTTCTGTTTTCTTCATTCCAGCTGGATTCCAAACTTACTGTTCTTTGGGGGGAATATTAGGCTGTTTCTTCTAATCCTGCTACTTTCATTATTTCTTTTAAACATGGTGTCCATTGGACATTTCCAACGTTATGTTTTGATAGAAGTGCATAATGATAATTGTAGTCAAGCTAATCAATGTAAGGTTACCTCGGGTAGTTTCATGTGTGTGTGCATGGTGAGGACATTTAAGGTGTATACTCTTAGCAAGTTTCAAGTGTGCGGTACAGAGTCTGTTAGCCATAGTCCCTAACCATAGGGACTTGGATCTGAAGAATTTACTCTGTGTGACTGCCGATTTGTGCCCTTTGACCATTATCTGCTCCCTGCCTCCACTTTCTCCTCTCTCCTCTCATCTGTGGGTGTCTATTGCCCAGGTTCCACGTGTGAGATAATGAAGTATATTTCTTTGTTTCTGCCTTATTTCACCTGGTCAGGTTCATGCGCAGTGTCACCAATGGCAGGTTCTACTTCCTCTTGAAGGATGAATCACATTCCATTTTCTATAATCCCACAAGTTCTTTATCCAATCATTCACTGATGAACACAACCAGTTTTGTTTGTTGGCTGTTATGAGAAAAGCTACAATGAGTGTGGGAATTTGTGTGTATTAGCAAGAAAATGATTTTACGTCTTCAGATATGTACTCAGAAATAAGCCCTCTGGTTTTTATATGGTAGTTCTGTTTTTAACTTTTTGCAGAAGTCTCCATGATGTTTCCCATAATGGCTGTATCAATTTCTTCCTGCTTTTGTGATTTTGTTTTTATCATTGATTTCCAACAACTGCCTGTGATGTGCTTAGATTACTTTTCTTCTCTAAGCTTCAATACATTCTTGATATGTGACTTGAGACATATTTTTAAATCATTTCTTTTCAGAATCCCTTCATTGATACCTTCTCCCCTTTCTTCCAGGAACTCCAATTTACATGTATGCTGCTGTGTGCATTATGCTCTTCTTAAAATATTTTTATCTTCTCTTTGAACTTTGGTGTGAACGTTTCCAACTTCCAGTGTGCTACTCTTCCATTCTAATATGCTTTTAAATTTACATATTGAGTTCTTTATTTTAGTTTTTGAGTTTTTTTAGTTTCAGGATATTGGCTGGACTGTTTTTTTTTCTTTATAGACTGCACTTCTCTAAGGAAATTCACATTTCCATAAATTATCTCAAACATATGAAGCACAGTTATTCTGAGGTCGGTGTCAACACCTACATGTGAATCATCACTCTCTGTGATAGCGTCTCCTTGCTTTTACTCATTTGGTCCTTTTTTCTGGAATGCTCATTGATATATGTATATATATATATTTAGTGCCAGAAAAAAAGCTGTAGAGAACAACTTGAATTTTTCTTCCACCTGAAATGTGTTCATTTTCAGCTGAGATTATGGTCCCTTATTCCCTGCCTACTTAAGTCAATGCTCAGTATTTATATAGACAGCAACTTAAATGTATCCAGCTGTCATCATCTTCATCACTGAATAGTCAGATCTGATACTAGCTACTTCATCACAGCTGGAAGTGGAACTGTATCCTTTTGCTTTTCAGATAGTCGCTCTTCTTCATTTGGATCTTGTGCTTCTCAATTCCCTAGTTGTTGTCTTCCTTCTCTGGCTGTCCCTGTTAAGTCTCTTGTAGTGCTGTGGCTTGTTTAGGAACAAGAGTGCCCTTTCACGTAGGTCACCGATGACTTGATCAGGAAACCAGGAGTCCCTGCCACTCACGTGTTGAGGGCAGGCAGGAGTACAACCAGCTTTGAACAACCATCTCAGATCCAGTAATTCTGTGCCATACGTGAACTGGAGATGTAATGTCCCTAGATGCTCGTGTCAGGGAGTTTATGGAAGTTAAAAACATTAATGATGAAGTAACACTGGTTAGCCTGAGCCATTTTACTATTCGGTGAGTATAGAGCTTGCTATGCATTTCTCATACTTTTACTATTCGAAAAATTTTTAAATCTTTTAAAACCTTTTTTTCCCTAGAATAAATTTTATAAAAATTTGGGTATAGTGTGTGCTTATAGGAGAACCAAGTTCTTTAATTTTTTTGATCAGTCCCCAAATTTTACATGGAATTTGTTAACAAGAAGCTTTTAACACATAATGTCAATTAAATACAGTATTTTAGGAAATTCAATAAGATCCTGCTGATGTGGATCATGGCAGGCAGCAAGGGTTGATCCAAGCTGTTAGATTCCTGCCAACATTGTAGGCTACATGGCTTGGGTTCCTGGATCTCATCTCAGCCTCAGCCATAGCTTCTATCCTTCTTCCTCTTTCTTCTCCCCATCTCTCTGTGTCAAATAAATACATGCTTTTAAAAGGTAAGGTGTCACTCTACTCCTCCAAGTCCCCTCACAAAACTTAAATAGAAATCTTCATCACGCTTCCATGCTTTGGGGGAACATCAGTGCATTTTTTATTGTTTCTGGTTGTTTGGATTTTCCTGAAAAAAAGCAAGAGTTCGCAACTTGATTGAGTTGTATTTTGTGTGATTTCCCAGTCACTGAGGTCAGTCAATGCAAAACAAAAAACACAAGACAATTGTATTTCTAGTCAAGAGGGTGGAGGTTTATTCAGAAGGAAACAAGGAAAAGATACAGAAACATCATAATAAGGGGACTCAGGCACTCTCAAACTTACAGGCCTGAAAATGTCCACATTGTAGATAAGAAGGGTTAATACTCAGAAACGAAAAGATAGAGTATAAAATTTGGGCCGTTTTGTTAGTTTCTTGCTATCAGTAATACCTAATCTTATACTTTAGGACAATATGCAGAGAGCTTGTGTCGGGCCAGGAGATGGACAGTCAGTGAAAAAGGTCTGTCCTGAGTCATCTAGGAGGTGCCCAAGTTGGCCGCTGTGTTGAATGAGGAGCAGGAGGAGGACATCTCTAGGGGCAGGATTAGCAGCAGCAAGGCCTGGCACAGCACATGGGGCGGGGACAGGTGGAGATCACACAGGTTGGGCGATAGCAACTGGTGTGGCAGGAGACTTGGCCACAGACTGGACGCAGGCAGCAGCCAGGGCAGCAGCTGGGGCGGCAGCAGCTGGAGCCACAGCAGCTGGAGCTACTGCAGGAGGGGCGGTAGCAGCTGGAGATGCAGCAGCTGGGTCTGCAGCAGCTGGGTCTGCAGCAGGTGGGCTGGCAGCACTGGGACTGGCAGCACTGGGGCCTGCAGCAGGAGGGTCTGCAGCAGCTGGAGATGCAGCAGCTGGGTCTGCAGCAGGTTGGCTGGCAGCACTGGGGCCTGCAACAGGTGGGTCTGCAGCAGGGGGGCCTGCAGCAGCTGGAGATGCAGCAGGTAGGGCGACAGCACTGGGGCCTGCAGCAGCTGGAGATGCAGCAGGTAGGGCGGCAGCAGGACTCTTCCTGACAGAAGTCTTGGCCACAGCTCTGCTCAGAGCAGACGGAACCACAGGAGTTGACCATGTTGTCGGAGGATGGAGGTTCTGGGTAGGTTTCCAGGAGAGTGAGTTTACTGAATTTGAGAGTCTCCTTACAACATCCCCTTTTATACCCAGCTGAGGGGGTTGTGTGATTATGAAAAGAGTGTTTCCTCATTTTTATTTCTATGACACACATGCAATTAATGCGTTTTTCTAATAAAAATTCCCAATATATTGAAAATAATTATTTCCTTTTTCTCAAGCTGCCCAGTATTCCCACATGAATCATCACTTGTCTCTTCCTTGATCTCACTGGCACATGATTTCAGCCTCTGAATATCAGGTGACAATGAGAGGGTCACTGTCTCCTGTTGGCTTCTCATCTTCATACGGGCTGGGAAAGGAACTGGGGTCCCTGGTGGGGAACTGCAAGTTTCCGTCATATGGAATGCTAGTAGGAAAAGAGAAGGTAGCCCTCATCTTGAATGTGACAACTGAAGAAGTACAAGATTCATTGTGTTCTGAGCAACATGAAACTGATGAAGTTCCTAGGACACTTCACGCTGTATAGATCCTCAGCACCCTGACATACTCCCGCTTGATAGCAGCAACTCAGTGCCTCAGGGAGCAGAGAGTCGTCTGGGGTTGATCTGGCAGCTACCATCTGCAGAATTCTCCAGGCTGAGGTAGAATAATGTGGATGTTCATTTTTGATTTGCCATTTGAAATCCAGTTATGTCATAATTATACATTATTAATGTTTCTGTAGTAGCATTTATGTCTAAGCTGATTTTAAATGCATAGGGGAATGTAAGTGATGTATTCTTTATATGTACTTCTACAGAAACTGTGCCCCTCAAGCTCTTTTAGTCCAAGCCCATCATGACTCTAGTCCTAAACTTCTTTAAAGCCACAGGCTTTCAGGCAGCATTCTTCAAGGAAAGAACTAATTTCCTTCTTGGGCTTCCCTCAGATGGATAGAGCGGTCTCTTGTGAAGTCAGCATTCCCTTAGATGTCTCTACCCATAAACTTTAATGCCATTTTCCTTCAGCATCTTTCTTGGCCCCCACACAAGGCAGAGAGCTTCCTCCATGGTGCTTCGGCTGTGCTGTGCTGCTGCATCAGTTCTACTGTCTCGTCCTCTGTGTGAAATGTTTTGGTTTCTCAGCTGCCCCCAGAAGACAAACATCATCACGATAGGGAGTTCCCCCATCTCGGAAGACTTGAGCTTGAAAGAGAATGAATTTTTAATAAAGGACGTCTCTGTTTAGTGAAGGAAACTTTTGTTAAGGCCTTGAAGAGACACACACTGACCTCCGAGAGTGCAAGTTACCCAAAGATGTGGAAAGAAAGGGAACTCAAAGAAAGGATACACACCTGAGACTGCACATCACTGTGGAGTATGATGCTGGAAGTGATGCATCTAAAGGTCTCACTTGGGAACCAGTGAGAGAGGGAGAGGTTGAGATTAATAGAACTAATTAAATAATTAATAGAGGCAGGAGATACCTGGGGGAGCCCTGGAAGGAATAGGACAAGGAGGAAAGAGCTATGACAAGCCTTCAAGCAGGAATATAAAGTAATATGTATGCTATGTACAGTTTATTTTGAATTTTGATTTGGCTTTAGAAATGCCGAAACACTCTTGGATTTCTGGAGCTACATATTATCTAGCAAGTGGAAGTGAGATAGAGTAAGATAAGCTAAGTATTGGGGGTGCCAAAGGGCATTATAATATGCTATTATATTATAAATGGTGTATTATAATAATCACACAATAACAACATAAGCTCATTTATTTGTTATGAAATAGCAAAATGCTTTCTCTCAAAGAAACTCCAACTTGGTCCTTAACAGACCATGGGACTATGTTAATGCATTCAAAAGTCTGTGTTGAAAAGTCGTAAATCTCTACTGGGTTCTCTGCTTTAGAAGTGTATTTTGCACTTGGTCAGTCCCTGAAGCTGGCATCGGAAAGAAGGTACCTGCTGAGTCTGCAATGTAACAGCAGTCTGCCAGGCTTGTTGCTCTGCATGTGAAATTCAAGGACACTGAGTACAGCTGAAGCAACTGGCTTAAACTACCTTATTTGATCACTGAGCACTTTGAGAACTGCCTATCTTGCATACTGGCCAGGCAGGAATACTAAAAAGTTCATAAGGATCAATACTGTTGCCTAGATGTTTGCTTATCAGTACTGTCACCTCCAGACCGTTGAGTGTCTACTTCCTTGATGGGCTTGAGGAATTTTAAAGATGCCTCTTCAACAAGGCCAGTGAAGGAAGGAGACTTGTTCAATGCTTCACTTAGCATTCATCCTCACTGTGCATTTCAATAAAGCTGCTGTGGCCAGACTGTCACCATTTGAGCTGAGCTTTCCCACTCGTGATTTTGTGTCCCCGTAGGTTTTCTCCAACAGGGTCTCCAGTTCATTATGGGGTGTTTGGGAGTACAACAGCTTTTCTTACAGGTAATGACTGCACCTGACTGCCTGTATTTACTCCTCCTTCAAAGTCTAGCAGGTCTGGACTCCCACGTCACTGCCTTGGCCTTCAGATAGGGTGAGAGGCAGGCTTTCCCTTATTGCATTCCCTGAGCTCCACTGATGCCTTTGAAAGTTGCCTTTTTTACTGCCCAGTTTCAGTATGCTGTCTCCTTCCTTTCATGACTCTGATCTCATAAAAGCAGAAAATTATAAGCCACATCTCCTTTAAAATGGAGAAGACCATATAAAACCTCTATTCTTTGATTTAGCTGTAGCTCGTAAAACATCATATTAAAACCAAAGTCTGCATCTTGTAATTAACAGCTGTCAAAAAGGAAGGTAGGAGAGAGGGAAAGAGTTGTTAATTCTGGTGTGTGGAATGGCAGGTCTGTCCTTTACAGAACTGTTCAGAGTGCCTGGAATAGGCTGCAACTGACAATGTCTGCGTGACACTGTTAGGAAGGACACCCACGTCCCTGTTGGGGTGAGGCCCACTCTGTCAACTTCTGCTCATTTTGTTGTACAACAGCTTAGAACTTCGCTTAGAAAGTGTCATGGATAACAACCAACTCTTAGTTGAATGTACATGGAAGTACAACAGAGTCACTTATTGTTTATTTTAAAGGCTGAGTGACACACAGAGATATCTTTCATCCATTGGTTCATTCCCCCAAATGACTGCAACAGCTGAACATGTACCAAAGTGAAACCAGGAGCCAGGAATTCCATCTAGATCTCCTAATGAGTGGCAAGAGCTCAAGTGCTTGGACCATCACACTGCCTCCTGGGCACATTATTAGGAAGATGGATGGGAAGAAGAGGTAGAACTTATCACATCACTCTGACATGAGATATGGGTGTCCTGTGCTGTGCCACACACCTAGTGTGGTTAAAATTTTTCAACGAATGTGCTTATGTTTGGCATTTCCTAAAGGAACTGAATGTTGTCTCTGAATGTCCTGTCAGAAGAAGAGCTAGCACACAGGACTCTATTTCCCCAGGCACTGACAGGCCTCAGCAGCAGGGGGAGGCACACACGGTAGGGACAGGTGAGGATACCCAGACTGGCTCATAGTAAGTGGTATGATGGGAACATTTGCCACAGACTGGGCTCAGGTGACAGTAGATGGTCTGAGAGCAGCTGCTGCAGGAGCAACTGGAGATGCAGCAGTGAAGGAGAAAGTAGCACAGTGCTGGAAGCAGTGAGGCCTGCAGCTGAGGGGGCAGCAGTGGTCTGAGAGCCACTGGAGCAGATCTGCCAGCAAAAGGCTCACCCACAGCTCTGCCCAGAACAGAATGCGGGTGCAGGATCCCAAGGCTTTGGGCCATCCTCGACTGCTCTCCCAGGCCACAAGCAAGGAGCTGGACAGGAAGCAGGGCAGCTGGGATTAAAACCAGTGCATATATGGGATTCCTGCACATTCAAAGCAAGGACTTCAGTCAATACGCCACTGTACCAGGCCCCTAGCAAGATTTTTATCAAGTTTATTTCCTTATCAAACAGCTGATAGACATATATTCATATGCTTGTATGTACAGAGCAGGAAAGATTTAAACAACTGTATTATGAAGCAACCTGGTGTCCTGAGCCCCATATTTTTGCTAGTTTACTGTATATGAGAGGTTTAGGGAAGGAAAGCTGAAAGAAAGTTTTGGGTTCTCAAGAGACAGGTTGCTCTACAGTTTTAAGGAGATTGCCTAAAATTTTTGACCACATCTAGAAGCACAGTTGAGTCTCCTTATGGATTCAGTCGAGAATCACAGCCCTAAATCAGTGGCTCTCCAAGTGTGCTGCTTGCTGAAATTACCCAGAGTGTTAAAACCTGCCAGTGCCTGGATTCCGCCCAGAAACATTCTGATGTCATTGGTGTGGGATTTTGTCTAGAGAGTAAATGATTTTTAAATTTCTGAAGTAATTCCAAAGGGTAGAAATGCTTAAGAAGCATCTCTTTGAATTTGCCATTTGTAAACATCTGTGGGAGTTTACATTGGAAATATAAACAGACACTAATAATTCAAATGTAATTGATGTTAACAAAATAGAGATGGAATTCTTAAATTTGAAACTTGGAATTTTGAGCGTTTTAACCCAAAATGCTATTAATTATCTTGAGTCTTTGTTTTATTTTCTGATTACTTTTTACTCTTTTGGATTGCTCTAATCCTATAGCCAATTCTCTTATATGGATAAGAATTTAGAGCATGAGCCACAGTGGATGATCTCAAGGAGAGCACACTGGGTTATTTGGGGAAAGAAACTCCAAAACAAGACAGCCATCATTCTGTGTACTTCCTGATGAGCTTTCCATAATTAGGGAAATAGGATTGATTAAATTAATATTAGAACCATATACACAGTACATTTTCTACCTAAATTTTATCTTGGTAATGAATGACACTAGAGAGGGGATGAACTTTTTTTTCTGGTTATGTCCTTTTGTCTTCTTAAACATTCTCCCACGCCGGAATTCAACTGAACAAAGGACTCAGTTGAGCAATGACATTTAGATGCACTGAACACAATTGGCACTGTGTAGGAATTTATGTTGACTGGGTA